GAGGTGTACCATCACCAACCATCCCCCAAAAGCCTGCAGGAAGTGAATAAAAGCTTGATGAACTGTAAGGAGATCCAAGAATGATATGGAAAGAGGCCTTAGAAAGAGTTCATCTCCTGAAAACTCTTTAAATAGTTCCCCCAATCAAAAAAAAAAAAAAAGCATGCATAAACATAACACGCCAGACAAGGAAGGGGAAGATGAACATCCTTGGTAGTGCTGTCCAACCACCAAGCAGAGTTTATTCAATCCTCTGTCTTGTGGGGAAAAGCAAACAGTCAAGAAAAAAAATCCAGGACAAGAAAGACCATCTCTTTGATGGCGCACTTATGAATGAAATCTAGAACCCTCTGAAAGATGCTGGCATGAAACGGGATCCTGTGAATGTAACTGAAAGACCAGATCCTCTGAGACAACTTTCAGAACCCAAGTATCCACAGCAAAGGACCTCCAAACATAGGCAAAGTGAAGAAGTCTGGCCCCCATGGCTTTAACTCGAGAATATAGTCACTAACACTGGATGCCCCATAAACAATGCGTGACAAGGTACCGACACCTAGTTTCCGAAGCCTAAGAAGCTGGAACTCACAAGGGAAAAGGTAACCGAAAAACTGGGATCTGAACCCAACAAAGGGATAAGCAACTCCAAATGCTGTGAGGCTAAATAAAGGAAGTCGGAATAATGATATCATCCATAGTATGTGGAGGTCAAGGAATAATGACCCCCAAATGCAGTTATTCTCTGAAAACGACTTGCATGAACCCCAATATCCAGTGAAGGAGGAAACACAAAATAGTGACCCAAAGGCTCAGCCTGGAGTAGGGCAGGGGTGGAACCATAGGAAAGAGGAGATAAGGACAAAGCATAACATATGGTCGGGAAATCCACTACAGGAGTAATGGCAGTTGAAGTCATGCCCACCTTAAAAGGCAAGTGCAAAACATTTTGGAAGTGAAGAAGAGATAAAAAAAATATATAATTCATTACTCTCCACTAAAGTTAACAAAATGCTAAATAACAAATGTAACTGATTTAGAAAAGAAGTTGAAAGGCCTGAAACACAAGAAAGTAAAAACATTTGAGTAAGTCAATGAAAACCACGAGCAAAAATCATGCCTGTACAAAAAGACTGACAAATGAGAAGTGGTTAACAGTTGCAAGATTATAGTCATACTCCTATTGGTGGAGAGTTACTACATAATCATCTGCATGTTAGTATGCAGATATCTCACATTAACATATGTGAGAGTAAGAGGGAGTATCAATACTAGTGGTGAGTGCAAATTGTGAGGTAAGATATTGTATCAGAAAATGAGGTAATCTTTAATACTTAGGTTCAGCAAGTACTGAGCATGTGCAATTAACTATAGCAAACTAAAAACTTATTATAGCTAAACAGGCATTATTCAAATCACTTGGCATGAAGAGGGTTAAGTAAGTGAGTAAAGGTATAGATATTCTATAATTTATTTCATTAAAGTAAATGACTATAACTACTGCAAATGAATTAAGAAAATATCTAAAAAAAACTTTATATTCTTGGACATGGTTGTGGAGTTCTGACTTTTGTTTGGTTGAACTGAATCTTAATGATTAGCAAATGGGAGAGCTGCTAAGCCTACGTACTGTATGAATATACAAGTACAAACCTAACTTATACAGCTTTCACTCTAAACCCAGGTTGGTCATTTATCTTAGCTGCTAGGACTGCCTACTATGTAAAAATAAAATATATCACAAGCTTAATTTACACATCTTCTCTAACACCAGCTTCTTCATCTGTCTCGGGCCCAATCCCCATAACATTTTGCATCCTAATTGAGTATTCCCCCCAATTACCCTATAGATACTGAGTACATTAACAGTGATGTGAATTTTGTGTATTTTCTACAGCAATCCTATCTCTTTTCTGCCATCCCTTGAGAGTCTACATGGAACCCCTGATTTATCTTAGCAGCTAAGCCTGCCTCCAAGGTGAAAATATACATAAATACAACAAAGGCCAAACTGTAATATTCTACTGTAACCCCAATTGGGTCATCTACCTTGGCTGCTTAGTCTGCCTACTTTATGAAAATGCATATTAATACATAACAACTTTAACTTAAACACCTTCCATTCTAACACCAGTTTTGCCATCTGACTTGGCTGATGGGCCAGACTACTATGTGAAGATGTACACAAATACATACAAATCCTAACTTACACATCTTCTACTCTAACATCAGATTGGTTGTTTATCTTTGACAACTTTTTTGCACTATCTACTTCCATGGGTTCTGAGAAAGCTTCTTCAATGTCCACACCATCCAGGTTCATCTCCTCTTCCCAGCCTAATTAATTTCAATAAAAACAAAATTTCAAAATTGCATTAATTTTTATGTACAAAAATATTGTAAGGTAAAATGAAACTTCATGACCAAGTAAAAAATTTTGAATCTTGAAAAGTTTTACAATCATAGGTTAACTTTACTTAAAAATGGATCAATCCTGCCATTTTCAGCAAAAATAAATAGATAAAAAAATGTGAAGATAGCTTTTATATGTGGAAACATCTGTTAGCTGAGTTCTTGCACAGATCTTAAAATATAATGTTGATAAACGGAAACATCGGCACATGTAGATATATAGATCTTGAAAGCTGTGTTGTTCAAAACTTGAAAATAGTGTTGATAACTGGACCAATTATTGGTTGAGATGTTGCAAAGGAAATATCTGCTGAAGCTTTTTGCCAGGCACTAATCATAGCAGAACTGTCTGGAAAATGATCTATAAGAAATAGTACAGCTTATAAAATGAGTCAGATCGACGTAGGCCGGTAAGACACTCACTGATTGGCAAGTCTTTAAGCCAATCACAGACCTACTGAAGGATGTGTAAATTCTATATGAATTCTTTTTTGGTGGCAAATGACAGGTTTATGTGTTTTAATAAAGGTGGCTTACAAAATATAGAGATGAAAGGTTGACAGACCATT